AAAAAAAAAAAAAAAATCAAGGGCAAGAGACAAGGTAGAATTGTAAAAGGGCACAGACCTGGTTAGGGTCTGAACTGGCTTTTGCCTCTGAGCCTCCCATTCACTTCCTATGAGGTCTCGGGCCACCTCCCTTGTCCACTGTGGATGCAGGTGAGTGCCCTGTCCGTCTGGCAATGTCGCTGGTGATGTGTGGCTAAGGGACACACAGCTGTTTGGGAACCTCCAGGCCTGGTGCAGCTCCTGAGGAAGGGTCGAGCTGTACTCCTACAGCAAGGAGGACAAGTGCTTGCCCAGGCTGGTATTAAGACAGGACCAAGGCCACACGGGTGCTGACCTGGGACCTGCTTGGGTGCACGGTGCTCTACCCTCCTGTTTGTATGCCTGTAGTCAGCTGCAGTGACAGTTCTTTTCACTCCACAATTCTTCTTCTTTCTTGCTTTATTTATTTAGTACAGGGTCTGGTAGTGATCCTCCTGTACCAGCTTCCCAATGCTGGGATTACAGGAATGCGCCACTACACCTGGTTTTGATGGTCTGCTTGGTGCACCCAGGGTTCTGGGGCTGGCATGGTATGTGGTACCGGGGACCGAACTTGGGTCCTTCCGCTTGCCAGGCAGGTGCTTAGACCACTGAGTTATCTCCCCAGCCCCTGTGTTAGTCACATTTTAAAATATTTTCCAAAGCCAGGTATGGTGGCACACGCCCATAATGCCAGCACTCAGGAGGCTGAATCACTGAAGTTTGAAGCCAGTCTGAACTGCACAGCGAGATCTTGCGTACAAAACCAAACCAAATCTGAGCTTTACAAAGACTGGAAGGCTGGAAGAAAAGGGCTGATGATCAGAGTGACTGACTGGGTCTAGATCTTCCCCATCAACAGAGTCCTCAGTGACAGTGGCCGCTTCTATAAAGAACTACACTGAAGGGTCTTTAGCAAGGTTGTTAGTGAGGATCTGGGTCAATAAATGAACCTGTTGGACAGGTTTTACCAATTCCCTTAAACTGCTTCTCAGGAAGAAGCCTTTCCTAAGAAACACAGAAAATGCTTCCTCCGGGTCCCTGATGAGGAATCCCAGCTAAGATTTGTTAGGAATCTGTTTTCTAGAGGAGCAGCTTATCACCGGGCTCAGTTTATCATTTACGAAATGCAATGCAATAACATCTTTTAAGGAGAAGAGGGGAATCTCCCCATTCCCCAAGGGCTCTGGGCTCTGTCCCAAAGAACCATGTGGGTGCGCTGGAGGTTGGAAAAGGGAGAGGAAGATTTTGACTCAAAACATTTGAGAAGCAGGTCCCTTAGCTTTTTAGGGCCCCAACTGCCCTCTAGCAGCTATCAGAGCCAGAGGTCAAGTGACTCTCTAGCTTGTCGCCTCAGCATGACACCCAGGTGACTGGTCACTACCAAAGTGCTGAGCTCTGCTCAGTGCTTGGAAAGTGCCCAAGTTTTTAATAGAAAGGACCTATAATTAGGGCAGTCGGAGATACTCCCATCCAGAGGACAGGAGGAGACCAGCCCTGGGACTCACGCCTCCAGGAGCCTCCCACGGCACGCTGGCCCTTTGCCCCAGAACTCAGAGCTCTTGAAGTATAGAGAGCAAATCATGATTACTCAGAACCTAGAAGCAAGTGCCTGGGCTGGAGTCTACAAAGGACCCCAGATAAAACCGAAAGGAAACCTTTGCAAATCTTACCGCCCTGACACTGCGACCTGGGAGGAGCTGCCTGCTCCCCGTGGGCAGCAGCACGGACGGCCAGACGCTGAAACGGGAGACTCTGGGCACGGAGCGTCGTCCCAGTGACTTCTAAGTGACCAGGGCCAGACACTGGGGGCAAGCTCTGGCTTCTCCTCGCTGGGAGTTCGGGCTGCCGCGGGGGGCCCCGGGCCTGGGAGGTGCCACCAACCTGAAGACGTGGAAGACCCAGAACAGGCGGTCGGCCTGGGGCCCGCGCCCCGCGTGCACGATGCTCAGGTACAGATAGAGCGCGATGGCCACGGTCCAGAAGAAGGAGCTGGTGTTGGCGAAGG